TCAGACAAGTATGTATATGTTCAAATGAAAATACAAAACAAAATAAACAGTGAATGAGAGCATGTCCCATTGCTGCCAATGGTGATTGTCACAATGGCAGGAGTGTGTTGGGATATGACAAAATATGTTTTTTTTTTTGCGTTCCAAAAGAAACTATTCAAGTACAAAGTTTTTGACACGTACAATCGGACTTTGATTGTGATGTCGGGATTTGACGCAAGTCTGCCGGACAATCTATATCCACACGAAAAGGGAAAGACCCAATACAAGTGGAATCCGATGTTCTGTACCATGCAGTAGGGAATAATACAAGATGTCCCAAAGTACTGTATCCAACACAGAATCCTCGTAGACGTCGAATCGAGTTCTGTAAAGAAGGGATTTTCCAAGGGGAAATTGTTGAACTCACTTTTGTGATTGAATCATCAATTCAAGCCAAACATTAATCAAATAGGAACAATTTCACTCAAAGTATACCTAATACAGGAGAACTATTGTTGTGAAAGTGCTGAACAATCAATTACAAATTTAGATTGCAGAGAGTTTGTTCTGAGCGCTAAAGGCACTCACGATAGGGCACATTTTGCTTTATTCCAACAATGACACGCATTTGCCACAACTAAATTTCCATGCCTACAGTAAATTGTACCTCGTACAGTATCCCTACATATTCCCGCCAAATCTGCTGGGTGTACTATGAAGTACTACTAGTACTGTACCATTATTTGATACTCTATGGTACGATACCCCCAAACAAGCTCTATACCGATTTCCCCTCCCCTGGAGAGCTGGTTGCTTCATTTGACAAGAAGAGCTTTGTTCTCTTGCCGTGAAAGAACGTGCAGTTTTCCGACCAGCAATCCCATGCTGATACTCCCACCAGGGTTTGTTTAACGATCTGGGATTACCCAATAGAATAGCCATGTTCGCAGCTTCAACAGGACCAACATCCGCATTTGCTCCTCTTGCTGCAAGTGGCAGTAGTTTGCAACCAGCATTTGCTTGTTGCATTTGCAAGCCACCTTCAATTGTTCCGCCAAAAGCACCTTTCATTATCTGTTGGCATTTGGCCTGCCAAGTAGCTTCGTCTTCTGGTGGTGCAAAGCGCCTCCTCCCAGAGTTGGGATGGTCATTATTGGCAGCTGCTTCCTTCATCACAACTTCATTTTCCATAGTTCCTTGTTCTTCTGAAGTTGCTTGAGCCTGCATCTCTCAGAGCAGAAGGATCAAGAAAGAGTGATTTTTTGTTTTTTTTGTGATCAATTTATTATACTGTTTGAAATTTACTATGGTGAGATACCAGAATATTTATGGCAAAAAGTAACTTTTTTGTTTGAGAGATGAATATCCTGCCTGATATTCCAAAAAATCCAAAAAACAAAAACAACACGCACATCCAGGTTCCAAGATATCGCCTCTAGTACTTCTCCTACACGGAGCAACCGTAGCGATGCTGGAAAAGACGTTGTTCTCAACTGGAAAACCAAGGATCAAGATGGGCAGAAGAAAGACAGGCAAGGTCCCCAGAGCACAAACAGTATCCTTGTCCAAAAAGAACGGGGAAAAGTGGCCAAAATCTGCCCATTTGATGCCTCTGTTGTTTGGGCCTTTTGGACGACGATGACAGCGACGAAATCGCTGATGACGAGGAGGATAACATCAAGATTCTTCACGGTCAGAAAGCAAACTGGGATATCTATTATTTCAGAAGTCATTTTGTCCAAAAAGAACAAACAAAAATGGTCCAATCTTGCCCATTCTTTGCATCCCTTTTTGGGCATTCCTGATGATTCTGGCAGTGCCATCAAATCAGTTTTCAATGATGAGGAAGACAAGGCCATCCGAAAGGTCTCCAGCGCCCGAGCACAAACTCCAATGGACCTCCAAGATGCTGTTGAGGATAAACCTTTCCAGCATTATGCTGACAAATTTGAAAGGTCTCCCAAACACACCTATTGCAACAATCCAACCCTTGGCGACCTACTATTGCAAGGAAATTGCTATCTCTTCCATCAGCCTTCTGTCAATTGGCAGATGCCTCAATTTGATTTCCTTTTATGGATGTTCAAATGTTGGCATCATTTCCACGGACAGCTAGGCACAACACCACTGATCTGCAGCCTCACCATGCCAAGATACAAACTACTGGCTCTGACCCTCTTTGCTTCTCCTCATACTACAACCAGCCACCTTTTTTATGCTTGTACCAACCTCAATGTTCTGGAACACTGTGCCCATGGGATGCTCTCCATTCATTTGGATTGATATATTCAAGGTAGAAGGGAGCAAGAACATAAGGTCAAATCAAGCTTCAATACAGGCAAGCATAACAAAAGAAAAAACAAAGAAAACAAAATAAAAATACGCCGCCTTGAGTGGCAAGATCGTCTCTCTACATGTGCAAGGGTGCAATGTAATATGCGATAGAGCAACTTCCTTGGGATTGGATGCCTCAAACTGGTTCAACAGTACTGGACTCACCTGTGTATGGTAAATGGCCATGACAGCCGTTAACGGCAATCTAGAAACTTGAGATAGTTTTAACACGATTAATGCATCAGATTTATTATTATTATTATTATTATTATTATGAATATCCTGCCTAAAAATTACTTTTATATATAGTACGAACTGATGGTTCCTATCTAGCAGGCAAAGATGTAGGAGAGGATGTGGGACCAGCCGCTGATCTGGAATTAGGCTCCAATCACCATGATAATCTAGTTTGGTTTCATATGGGGCCATTGGTAGTTTCAAGGCTGAGGCCTGTTCTCGCTCTTTGGTAGACGGGACAAGTTGCCACATACTCTATTTTCTTGGCTCGTCTCTGCTTGAGATGCTGTCTCAGAGGAACAGACCCGCTTGTTCTGGTACTTCTGTTGGTCTGTTAGTACAAACTGAAGATTCATAGTTAGTAGCTTCATATGTAGGAACACAGCTTGCATCACAAATAAGTTTTTGTGACACGATAAAAATGGCCTGATGTCAACGGACAGACACGATCATAACAGTTACAAAGATGAACAAGTTTCCCAACTATTACAACTTATATACCCCACCAGAAGCCTTCCCCAGGACCCAATCTTCAAAGACCAGGTACCATGCGCCCATGGGGACGTTTTCGTGTATGTCTATTGTTATTACCGTGCACCTCGTAGAACAGCAACTTGCTGTAAAACTTTCTGGAATCGGTACCGGTAGAGTATCGTACCAGGTACCTGGTACCGGTATACCAATTATATTTTATCAGGCACAGTACTTTATTTTCAAGTACATGGCACAAAACCTGATTACCTCCTCTGAAAGTGCCGATTAAAGAGAAGATACGACTTATGAATCAAGAGAAGCCATGAAGAATGTCAGACCTTGGACAAAAATGAAATGTTCTGAAGCAAATTATCTTTAGATGACTACACTTGGTCATTCTCCAAAAAATGGTGTAAGGGCCTCAATGTTTTCCTTTCTTCTCCTGCTGTTTCTTCCATCTCTTGAGTTGCTTTTTGGTCATACTGGCGGTATCAGGTTCATCCGAGTGAACCACTGGGGGTGCGAGCAATTTAAGCATCGAACGCTCAAGGCCACTTTCCATATCGCCATCAAAGAACTTAACATCATAAGCATTGTTTGCAACACGCGTAACCGTAGCAGGAAAGAAAGCTCCTCCAAGGTCCGCTTCCACTTGGTCGCCAACTTTAAGGGGCAGTGAGAAAGCCCAATCTTCTGGCAAACCAGCAGAGTCCGAGGCTTTGCCGGCGTAGGACCACGCAACAAGATCAGCTTTGCCTGTTTTCAGTTTCATTTGGGGGTGAGAACTAGAGACAAAATAAGTCAATTGGACTGAGCAATGACCATATACGCACACTTGTTAATTTGTTCATAGTATCTGAGAGTGAAACAGGGATGAGAAACAAAGCCAATCGAAGCATAAATCATTACTCAAGAAATACCGTACCGTTGCACACGAAACAGAGAGAGTCGTTGCATCCGTTCAGGGGTCATTGCCTTTTTCTTCGGCTTGTCCAAGTGAGCCGTCATCTCCTCCTCCAAATTTCGTGCTAGCCCCTCTTCCAGAGCCGCAAGATACATGTCTCTGTGAATGGAGACCAACTCCATCCCATGTATTCGTAGACGTCTGACAGTTTCTTTCCACAACCTTTCGTCGATTTTGGCGTAAGTAGCGGCATCCACACCTTTTGCACGTCTCGATAGCTCATTTGAAACCGATTCTACAGACGCCACATTCGCTACAGGCGCTTCGTCGAGGAATCCAAGCGGAATGGCGTCAAAAATGTCACTATGAAGGTCCTTTGGAAGTGTATTTACCTTGCCGCAATAACGATTTTCATCTTCTTGCGACTGCCCGAGGGCAGAGTCCTGAACGCAACCTCTTCGCAACACAAGTCGTCGAGCGCTGAGGTAATCAAGCTCCCAAACGTGCGTATCTACATTTATTGTCATATGTACGCTTGTATCTTCTTCTTCGGAGTCATCAAATGCAGTGCCAGTGGTATGGGGGAAGCCAGCAGGAATAAATAAGACATCTCCAGCGTTGAGGGTTGTCTCCAGCAACAAAGTTCCGTTCTCCTCCAAAACATGGAGGGGAAGGTTGTCGTCTCCCTTCCCTCGCGCAAACAAGTCTGCCATTGGTTTCGCCGATGGATCGGTGGGCATATATACTCTCCAAAATTTTTTGCCCGAGGTTTGAACTACGACTACATCCTGCTTGTCAGTGTGGGGAGGTGCAGAAGTCCTTTTGCCATTAGAAGTCACGTATAGATTCATGGCATTGGGTGTCGAAGTCGCATCAGTGGCGGCCAAACACAATCCCGCTAGCTTCGGAATATGCGCTCCAGCCGCATTGAGGATCACAGTCCCTTTTTCCAAGGCCTGTTGGACGTCCTCAAACCTCATCCGCGCCTCTTCGAAAGAGTCGCCACGAGGATTGCTGACTGAAGAGATCTTCCATCCTTTTCGATTATCAGTCGAGCCTCTCGAAGCATCCAAGAAGTCATCTTTTACTGCCTTTTCTAAATCTTCCATTGTGAAAAACCCATCAAAGAGCTCATCGTCTTGTCCACCAAGTGCAGATGTAATATCATCTTTCCTTAGAAAGAATGGTGATCCTTTCAAACCCAACCCAATTTCAGCTTTGCGCATCGAATCAAATAGACAGAACAACCCCGCTTCAGTTTCTCCAAGCCCAAACATATTTGCATACTCGCGGGCTTGTCCATGGTTTGCTTTCATTTCATCCAGAACCCGACCGCAGACGGATGCTGCGTCTGTGGTTTGGATTGTTTCCACGGATGCATACAAAAAACAGTTTGTCGCCACCTCGTGACGACAGTAAAAGGCAATAGTGCCTGGAGCTGTCAGGGCCACTAGTAGAGCAAATAATCCTATTTTTATTTTCGCGACAGCAATCATCGTAGAGTTCGCAAGAAATGGAAAAACAAACGGTACCGTATGCGAATGTGTGTGATTGTGGTTGTGGTTGTGGTTGACATTTTGGTCTGCGATCCAGTCACGAGCTAGAGTTGACCTGACTGACTGACTCTGACTCACAATAGCGACCGACCCTGTGATACCGTGTGCCACAACAATGAAAACGTTCGTCTCGCAATTAGAAACTTTACTTCGCTGATGACATAATATAAGATGTCTCAAAGTGGTACGAGTACCGCTGATGAATATAATGAAAAATCGCGCCTGATAACAAAACCTGCATCGATTAAAAGCTCAGATGATGGCTCATCGACTTGGAGTAGAGTTTCTGCAGAGATTAGCGAGCAGATGGCAACTGCTTTGCCCACATTACAATCAATGGTAAGGTTGGAAGAAATCACAAAGAACCAAACCCGTTTCTGAATCTTTACTTTACATTGCATTTCCTGAAGGTAATCACAAAGATACCTTGGATAATCTCCATTCGATTCGTCAGTGGTCTAGGGTCGCACGAGCTGGCGGCCGCAGCTTTGTCCACTACTCTCTGCAATGTGACTGGGCTGAGCTTTTCTGTCGGCTTAAGCGCTGCACTGACAACACTTACTGGACAAGCCAAAGGAGAGCTATGCTCTAGATTCAAGAATCGAGACTCTGAGAGTGCCACGACAACACCAATCTCAGTGGAACCGCTGACACCACTTATTTTTCTCTTCCGAGGGCTGATAATTCAACTTGCAATTGTGATCCCGATAGGCGTTTGGTGGTTGTTTGGTACCGAGAGAATGCTCCTTGCTCTAGGTCAAGAGCATGAAGTTGCCTCTATGACAGATCGTTACCTGAAAATACTTGCCCCAGGCCTTTGGTCTTATTCTGTCTCATGGACTCTCACTGCATGGGTACAGGCCATTAATTCGGGAGGTGAAAATTTGGCCATTATACCTGGTATGTAACCATCACTCACAAAATGCCGCGAAATGGTTCTCAACTCGTTTGACTATATGCGTCATCAACAGCGAAAGCGGCAGTATTGGGCCTTGTTTTTCATGTTCCATTTAACTGGTAGGTGTGAGCTGCATGACACCTTTGCTGTCGCGACTTAATAAATCTGACTACTTTGAAAGGTTCTTCGTCAACTACATGAATATGGGCTACTTGGGGTGTGCCGTTGCGACCGTGTGCTTTCAGACCATTCAGGTGTGTCGATATATTTGTGGTGTATTAACTTCAATATTCACCTCTTAGCTGGCCTCTGCACAACAAGCCTGCCTATATACTTTACAGGCTCTTCGGTACAAAATCTGCCCGAGCACGGGTGTTGGTTGCCATGGGGGTCCTTGACGGAACTGGAATTTCATGGAAACAAGAGTTACATCTGGCAGTTTCATCGTTTCAGGGTTTCATTCAGTACGGTAGCCTTGCATTACCAGGCATTGTAGTCATTTCTGAATGGTAAGTGTTCCGACTCGATTTCCCCAAGGCCACCATCCAGGTTTCATAGCTCTAATGGAAAATCTAATTTGGGAAGGTGGGCATCTGAAATATCAATTTTCCTCTCTGGACGCCTCGAACCATTCCCGGAAGTGGCTCTTGGAGCAATGACGATCTATCAATCGATCAACACATTTTGCTTCATGTTCCCTGTTGCATTCAGCGTTTCAGCTTCGACTCGCGTAGCGAATTTGTTGGGGAGGGGTTTTCCAATCGAGGCTAAATTTGCTGGTAAAAATAGCATTGCTTGTGCTGCGTGTGCTAGTTTTGGGATAGGCTTTGCCTTGATGATTATTCCACATGGTTTCTTTCCGGCTTTATTTGCCCCGAACGAGAGAGATGTCACGAAAGAGACAAGCAAGACCATCCCGCTTTTGGCAGCGTACGTGTTCGCGGATGGTGTCCAGGTAGCTATAAACGGGATTGTGAAGGGTACTGGACGGCAGTGGGTCACTGTTCCAATTGGTGAGTAGATGGTTCCCTTTTTTCCTCGCTTTTCCAACCTTCGCACTTACAGTCAATGGAGTATTGATTGCATACTGGGTTGTTGGCGTGCCATTGGCATATTACCTCGCTTTTGTACGAAACGATGGGACGCTTTGTGAGGACTCATATTTTTGCGGTGTGCGAGGACTGGTATTTGGCATGACTATCGGAACGTGGATTCACATGATTCTTCTGGCGATTGCAGTCTGGTTTACAACTGATTGGCACAACGAGGCTGTAAAAGCAAAACATCGAGTAAGAAGCCATTAAGAATCGGGGAAGGACTATTTTTTTGAATTATCTTTTGGTACTTCAAGATTGATCAGTACACTTAGTCGCCCTCCTTGTTCCTCGTTGCCTTCCGTCGCTTCATCCATCGCTTTCTTGACGCCGCCATCGTGCGCTCACTCATAATCCGAATGAAGAAAGCTTCATCTTCATCTTCACTTGACTCATCTTCGTCGTCGCCCTGTTTATCCTCCTGTAGAGCTGCAATATGGGCAGGGATTTCTGCTTCCCATTGTATCGGCTCGCGATACAACCGGTTAGTTTCTGTTTCCATTGCGTGCCACTCAAAGGAGTCTGTGTAGGGCTTCAACTCTGGATTCAACTCGATGAATGTCTTGATGTGGTCGTCTGCTTCCTGGTGTGCAATGCGTCGTTTGACTTCTCGAAGAGCCATGACATGGGCAAAACTCAACTGGTCGATTTCAGCACCCCATTGAGTGTGTTCCCTATACCAGTCACAGCGTAAAAGACGACTCTCCTCCAGATTCACGTCGTGAAGTACCCATCTTGTTCGTACCCAGTGTCTCATGATGTACCGATAGAAGGGTTCCATGCTAGATCGCAACTCTTTCTCTCGATTGACATACGAAGGAATACGCTCATAAAATTGACGTTGATAGCGAATTGTTGAAGGTTCCTTGTCCAGATAGTCGAAGCCTGCTTCATATCTCATAAACTTTGTAGCGTCTATTATAGTCAGCTTCTTTTCGCCATTTCGATACCTTTGCACTGTTGGATCATCCACATTGGGGTAACGAAGCGGAGACAGCAAAATAGCAGCTCTGCGCCGTGGCTCACTGGGCAACTTGTACACAACACGCTTCGTAAAACCATTTGTTTCAATTTTTCGCCGAAAGGATCTCTCCTTCATTCTTGACCGGCTGAGCTCGTCTATAAGAAACAAGCAGTCATCATTCTGAATTGGAGCTGAAAAGTTCTCTTCGACAAACAGTGCTTTTTGAACTTCTGGAGAGAAAAACTGTCCAGGTGACAGCTTCAGTAAGTAACGATCGGTGTGACTGATTTTTTCCATTGCCTTTGGAACCCAAACGAGAATCCATCCTCGATACAGGAGGCGACCGTTCATTCCATCCAACTTCCGTTTATGAGTCGACTCGACGTTGTCGTCAGGTAGACCAGCGAGCCCAAATGTTGCAAACTGATCCTGTGGCACTTTGCCAATAACCCGGGCAACAAGATCACTTTCCTGTGGCACAATTGCGAGATTGCATATCAAGCTGTCATCCTCCAACAAATCCTCTTCCTTGACGTATTCAGCCTGCAAACGCATGTCTTCAATGTTGTGCCCAAGACTCTGCGTGTACAATACCATATCACATCCTTCGGTTGCATCCCGCATTGTTTTGCGAACACTGTCGAAAATGGATGGAAGGCAGTGATCGTTGACGTTGCATTCCGAAGCACAAGGCAGGTATCGATAGCCCTTGTGACAGTTTTGATCATCCGCAACGCAGGGTTCCAGGCCATTTCGCTTTAGCAACTTGTCGCCACTTTCAGCTGAAGGGCCGTAAGGAGCATCGCGATCAAGGTGCCAAGCAATTGTACGGGCCATGCCTTCTTGTAGTGATGTCTGCGGCTTCCATCCAAGAAAGCCTGGTTTACCTTTCATCGCAGCAATTGCGGATACTTCAATCTTCAGGTGGTTCGACTGCTTGGGCATGAAGGACTTGAGCGCATCTGCAAAGGTGTCCTTCTCCAGTACAGTCTCGGGACTTAGTTCCAAGGATACTGGTTTTGTTGCTTCGTATTGTATTGCTCCAACAATTGCCTCCACGACATCATCGACGTAGAGCATATCAAGTTGCCCAGTTGATCCATTCCCAGTCAAATTTGCAGGCAGCACAAAATCTTCTGTATCATTCCAACTACGCGCCGCCCACTCAACACTGTCATGCACAAATGACCCTGGTTGTCCCCATGGTCCGTAGACGGTACTTGGGAGTTTTAACCCAACGGACGGGAAATCAGATTTCAGATAATACGCGTCGGCCAAGATTTCGTCGATGAGTTTTGTTGTTGCGTGGCGGGCATCTTCTGATCGACCGCCAGAGGATGATGCGTACAAGAATTGTGGGCGGTCGATGTCTGTGCCTTCGACAAAGCTTGACAATATCTGTTCCATGGACACCATACTTGCTCGCATTTGATATAGATATGGATCCCTTTGATTTTCATCATCTATGTACGGAGAATGAGAATTGCGCCAATCTGGGTGGACCATGTCGTTTGAGTAGACATCTTGCGAAAAGGAAGAGAGGTGAACAATGTGTGTAGGCTTCAGCTCTGACACATCCATTTCGTCATGCGACGAACGATGTATGGAAGAACCTTTTTTGTACAACGGATCAACTCCAATAAATGAAAGCAGGATCGGCTTTGGCATTTTGGGAAAGGCAGATGATAATAGCTGCATGCGATCGAGCAGCTGGATTCTGTTCCCAACCGTGTTAGGGTACATGCTGTCAATTCCAATAACCTTTTGAACTCCACATTGTTCCTTGAGATGTATGGCCAGTGAATATCCAACCAGATTAAGAATTCCAGTAATCAACACGACAGAATTTTTGTTGATAACGGACTTGCTCGAAAAAGAGTTTGGCGTTGTTTCGAATGCGTCTCTCGCCAAAGCACCGCAAAGTTGATCTTTGGACAAAGCTTCTCCGCTCTCAGAATTTCCGTCTTCTCGCCTGATCTCTTCCCTTGGCTCTTCTTTAAGCCTATCCATGGAATACCAATTAGAAAAAACATTATCATCGCTTCTTCCATTTAATGAAGTCAGAGGTGGACGGGATCTTCGGAATCGATCGTCGGCTCGCTTTTCTAGTGCTAGCATGAAATTTCCACCTCGCAAGACAATTTGTTCATGCTGTTGCTGTGCCCAAGTTGACGTTTGAGTTGAGGTAGGAAGAATCGCATGAGAATCATTGGATGCGAAATAAATTGAGTAATCATTGTTCTGATACATCCACAGCAGCGCTTTAGCAACGAGTAGAATATACAATCCAATAATGACAATGAAAATTTGAAACACACGATTTTTTTGGGTAGAATAGTGATGCGGCTTCTTCCGATGATAGGATGGATTGCGATGTCGTTTTGTTCCTTCGTCCTCAAGATCCATTCTGTTCCCTTCTTGTGACAGTGTCGAAGATGTGTTGTGCCGAGATCTATGATGCAACCCGTTGCTCGATCTTAAAGGGGAACTTTCCATGGTGAAACTTTCATAGTATCCAGATCCACCTAGCATGCCCTCAGCCTCCGAAAAGCTGCAGCTTCTGCGTGGTTGCAACATATCGTCTTCATCTGAGTCTCGATCGGAACTATGATCATAATAGCTCTCTCGTTGGCCCTGCTCTTGGAAATATGACATTCCTTATCGAGCGCGATACACGATACACGATTCAAATGTATCCTCTATTCTGTAAAATCTAATATCTCGTTCTGGTTACGCCCTATTGTGTTGTCATGGTAAAGCCAGAAAAATGCGCACTGCTTGGTTGGAGTTTCTTGTGGTTTGGATTGATTCAACGGATCGATTGGAGGGTGGCGGGTCGACCGGCTGGCGCACTGCTGCTCCATTCCGAGTTTCTCTTCCGCTTGAACGAAAGCGGCGAGTCGTCGCATCTTTGTCATTTCATCGCAAGCCTGCGAAAGGGTGATCCAGCAACGCAAACACAAAGATCTGTTGCATCATTTTGCCCAAACAAGCTTGCTGAGAGTCTGATTATTTGTCAGGTCAACGCAAAGCACCAAGGCAAGTAACAGGTGATAGTCATCCATCCGATTTTATTCCAGCCTCCACAGTGTGCAACCGTTTCCAAGGGGAATACTGAAGCGAGGGAAAGATGGTCGAATTTGAATATGCTATCAACGATCCTGTCCACGTCAACCGTGAGAATCGTCAACTGGAAGGTGTCGTTGCATTTGCAGGGTCGGTGTCCTTTGCTGAAGGAAGTGACTGGGTCGGGGTTCGTTTGACAGGATCCAGTGTTGGCTTGGGAAAGAATGACGGAAGTGTTCAAGGGCAACAATACTTCGATTGCCCTCCGCAATCTGGACTTTTCGTCAAGAAACAGGCTGTTTCCAAAAGAAAACTTACAAGATTGGAAGAATTGAGATTGAGGCGTGAGCTGGCACAAGGAGGAAATGAACCAGCCAAATCGTCCGCCAGAACTCCTTCGAAAGTGTCAGGACTTGGACAACCTCGGGCAAGTGGTCTTGCGACTCCTAGCAAAGCAAGTGCTGCGTTGCAGAGTCAAATTGATGATTTGCAATCGAAGCTAAAAGAAAAGGATGTGCAGATTAACTCCATGCAAGAGGAATTGCAAAAGGCAAAGGAGGAAGCCGATGCTGGAACCAAAAAGGTTGACGATCTTCAAGAACAACTACAGAAAATCAAACGAGATGAGAAATCGCTCAGTAGGAGCTCCTCCAGTAATATGCTCGAAGAATCACAATTCAAAATTCAAGAACTAGAGAGCAAGCTAGATCATGCTATGGAAGAGTTAAAGTCTTACAAGAAGGATTCGCAAGGAGAGATTGACAAGGAACGTTCCTTGCGACGAAAGGAATCTGTGGAATTGGCTGGCGCCAAGGAAGAAGTCGAGCAACTCCAAAAGCAATTGGTGCATTTTGCTGATTCATCTAAAACTATGGCCGCTGACACCTCACATTACAAGGAACGGGCCAAACTGCAAGCAGATGTTGCCAGTTTGAATCGACGAGTTGAACAGCTGGAGCTGGACAAGCAAGAATTGGAAAACACGGTGGAAGAACTTACATTGGACAAAGAGCAATTATTGGAAGATAACGAAGCCCTAGAGGATCGTTGCGAAGAATTGAAGCTCGACTACGAGACGGCACAGATGGAAGTTGAGGAAATGCGAATGGAATTGGAAGAATCAAAGGTCGTGCAAGAAGCTGAAGAGAGTGCGAGTCTTTCAGTCGAAGCTACTGCTGCTGGAGGAGAACTAAACGAGGCCCAAGACATGGCGCAAGCGCTCAGTGTCCAAAATGCAAGACTGCGGGAAGCCTTGATTCGACTTCGAGAACAATCACAGATCGAGAAAATGGACCTCAACCGCCAATTGCGTGGAGCTGAAAAGGACCTCGAAGAGGCAAAACAAACAACAGAAGAAGTTGAGAATCTTCGTTCGCTAAAGAGCGAGTTTGAAGAACAAATTAGCGATTTGAAGGACATGGTAGAGCAAGGATCGGCATATGAAGTTATGGTCGAAGATTTGAGTGATCGTGTCTTGAGTATGGAAGAGGAACTTGTTCTTGCTCAGCAAACTATAAGGGAAATGGAAGAGGCGGCTGATATTACAGCAGAAATGGAAGAGGTTCAAACTGAGGAAATGAAGGCCCTGAATAGAGACTTGGAAGACCGTGAGACTGTTATTCGGAATTTGGAAGAGGCGATCAAAATGTAAGTGCTTTATTGCCGATGGGTTCATTCGCGCAAATTTTGTTATTTTACCTAACGCTTGCTCTACTGTATGTTACTAAAAGGCAACGTAAACGAGAAGAAGAATTTCAACGAACTGTTGGGAACTACCGGACAAGGGTGGAAACTCTCAAGCAAGAAAAGAAAGCATTGCTTGAGTTGCAAGAAGGAGGAGAAGGCGAGAAGAGTGATCTTGTTTCTGCGTCTCAGAAGGCTCTTGCAAGAGCAGCGCAGCTTGTGCAAGATGCTGCAGAGATGCGGAAGCGAGAAGCTCAGGCTGCAATCGATCGAATTGACTCACAAGTGCGTCTTCATTTGTGTGAGCGCCTGGAGAGCTTGCTGCCACCTAGTGTTGCCGCGGCTGAGATTGCAAGCATTAAAGGGGAACTCCTTCTTTCGAAGGTTGTGGGTAAAGCCTCTCTATCTTTGGATGGCATCGCAAGATCTTTCTTGAAAACGATTCGTCACAGAGCTTGGGAATGGCGTACGGATACAAGCAAGGCAGGAGACCGAAAGGTGCTGACAGAAGCACTAGCCCTCTCCGATGAACAACAACAAATGGCTGCTACAATGATCCATCAATCGGAAGTGGCTCATGTGGCTATTGATGTGAGTGGCGATTTATTGTGGCTTCTTTCCGCTGGCCAATGGCCAGACATCTTGGCCCCAGAGGCGTCTGCGGAACTTGGAGCAATCATGGGACACTCTATGACCGACCTTGATATTGTCCTAGGTAGTGTGTTGAATACATTGAAGGAAGAAGGCGTGCTTTCACCACATCAATCGAACATTGGTGCCTTCCGTCAAACGGTGGTAACAACAATGCAAACACTTCGATCTCACATTGAGCAGGACGGTGAGACTCTTGTGCCTATGGATTGGAAGCCTCCTGCCTTAAGGCTGTTTAGAGACGCCTCAAGAGCAAAATACTCGAGTTTGGGCTGTTATGCAGCAGTTGCGTCTGTCTTGAATTTTGGAGAATCCATTAGGACGCCTCAAATTGTTGCTCGGAACAATGAATTAGTCAAGGCCTTGAAACCTTTGCTGAAAAAGCTCGATCTTGCAGCTTCCGAAGCTGCCAAATCGTGTTTGCGTCTCGCTCATCTTGATGTTCAAGACGAAGCGATTGTCATGGGAATCTCAATTGTCGCTGACTCCTGGCGTGCGGCATCAGACGACTTGTTGGGCAACATATACAATATGCTTCTATCGGAAGAGGGGATCAGCCCCGAGTATCTAGAGGCATGCGAGGCTGCAACTGACGAAGTTGTGAAGCTGGTATCCCAGTTTGCTTCAGCACTCCGATCATTCAACCTTCATGCCACCGCCGACAATCACTTTCATCCCTTTTCCCCAGAAGTCGCAGACGTCTGGGAAGGAGTTACGCTTCTAGCACGATCTATCCGTTCCCAAGATGGTGATGAAGACGACATTAACTACCTCGTTCGATCCCGCGAAATTGAGCAATCCTTGGATGACGCAGTAGAAAAGGTGCCAAAACTGACACTTGCGAACACAAAGATTTTTAGCTTGGAGAAGGTAAGAGTTTATCGTCTTCAGTTCCATCGTCTTCAGCTCCACCAGGTCTGCAATTTTCTGACATTCCTCGTTCATTTAAGGCACTCGCTCTCCGCTCGAAAGAAATCGCAATGCAAAATGCAAGGCTCTCCGAATTGGAGAAACTCTTGGCGAAAACAAATGCTCAACCTTCACCACGGATCAAATCATCCGACATGTCGTCATCAGCAGAGGTCAATGGTCTCAAACAGGAAATCCGAGTCGTAAGTTTAGAATTGGTATGGATGTCAGAGATTGGATTCTTGGTGACTAATGTTACGTTCCCTTCTTCACAGCTTACCGAAGCCATGGATGTCTTGCATCGGCAAGTTGAAGATTATGAGAGTGAGATTCGGTTTTTGAAGGATGCCAAATCTCCTGGCGCAAGAGTGCGTTCACGTACACCACGAAGAACGTTCACTGCCGATTTAAGAGAAAGAAGTGGATCTGTCGACTCTTTGCCTGGAATGGTCGCTGATGGCAGTACTGGTGCATTCGAGGCTGCTTTGTTCCGACCGGCTCTTCAGGCAGCACGGCGAGACGCTGCACAGTGGAAGGCAAAGGCCACCATTTCAGCCCTATTGGATTTGCCACCATTGAATGCTTCAGGGACCATCGGTAGTGAAGAAAAAACCGCAGACGAAGATGAATCGAACCCATTCGTGCAACTCTCATCGGCACTCTCGTTCTATCGTCGCGAAGCTGCATCGATCAAGGTGGTAGATGTTTCAAAACAAACGGGTGGAGAAACATCTCGATTGGGACTTCATCGAATGATGATGAGAAAGGCGACTGCTTCCGACCAGCTGGATAAAGCAACTGCAGCAGCAAGGCAATGGCTGGAAAACAATGGTGAAGGAAACTATGGAGCGGCTAACGATTCTTTTGGAGCTCCTCTAGTCGGCAGGGTCACATTATCTGGTGCAGATCCGGTCTCTACCGTCCGTACGAACGTGAAACCAGAGGACTTACATCGTTTGCAATTACATCTCGTTCGTTAGACGGACATTTTGCTTGGATGTCGAAGCAAGACTAAGTTAGACCTTTCACCTACTGTGAGATCTTGGTGTGATATCTGACTGTAGTTGAAGTCTCTTTTCGCAGATGCTGCAGCTTCGTTATTGATTTGAGCTAACTTTTGTTGATCCTTATCAAGAAGCGATAGACGTGGTACAGAGTGGCCATCATGTAGTTACTTTATCGCAATGGATCCTAATGGTCGATTAATTCGATTCAACATTCAGAACGTCCATCGAATGTTGGTACCGCGATAGTTCAAGCCATGAGACTACACCTAGCAAGGTTGATACCTCTAGGTGTTGTCGCCATCACCCTTCGTCAGTCTACTGCGTTTACAAATGCTCCAGACTCACAAAGGAGACTGCCAAGAGGATTCAAAAGGCCCACACCAGGTGCCGCTTTTCCAGTGACTGCAGATGAAAATGCTGATGCCCCCAAAAAACAGGCAAAATTACAACAGAGAAGCAACAGGACAGCTCCTAAACCAGCTTCTAAGAAAATAAGAGACAAGCCAAAGTCGGCTGTTGCTGATGAGCGAAGGAAAAGGAAAGAGGAGGTAATGAAGCAACTGAAGATAAAATTGGAAGAACGAAGAAAACAAGAAAGCCAGAAAAAAGAAGGTGGACTTCTTGAGAGGCTCAACCCTTTCCAAGCAGGCCAAAACCTTCGAAAAACTCTTGATGATCTTGGAAGCCTAACAGCTATAGGAAAAGGTTTACCTGATCGGACAAAGCAGAAGTATTATCTGGACGATAGATTCCTCGAAGGCGGAGGAAGTGGCCCCCTTCTTTCTGAGAGAAACCCGTACTCGGATCGATTAGAACGAGAGAACTATGTTCCAGAGGTATTGGTCGTGGGTGCTACAGGAGAAGTAGGACGACTGGTCGTACGACGACTACTACTGGAAGGGAGGTTTCGTGTCCGAGTGCTCGTAAGAGGTGAGTTCTACATCCGGCATCAAATAATGTATGCTTTCTGGAGATAGCTCTCAATTGAAGAGGCAAAAGATCTATATTCGCAGACTTTGAATCTTTTGGGTACCGGTGTCACTTATTGTCAGGGGGATCTAAATAACGTGGAGAGCTTAGAGTATGCCTTAACTGATGTCGACAAAATTGTGTTTTGTGCTGGTGCACCTCGTCCTGACGAAGAAGATTTTCAAAAGAAGTTCAAAACTTATGTTGTCGAGAGTCTATCGGACGACAGTAAAGAAGCGGAAGTAATGGGTGTTGAAAATCCGAGTGCTGACGACTTGCAATGGCAGCAGCTTAGATCAGTTTTGGATGTTCGTTCCCAGCTTGCGGAGCATGTTGATTGCATTGGAATGCAAAATCTTGTCACCGCATATCAGAACGTGCGTTATGCAGATTATGGTACCCCACAAGCTGCAAAAAGGTCCCTCTTTAAATTCGGGAGCAGACCTGAAGACTTTTCATTGTTTGCTGTTGATGGTGGCTCCAATGACTTTGATTTAAAAATTGACGGAACAGAGTCAGAGGAAGAGATTGAAAAAATGATTTCTGAAGAGTCATACTTCGATGAACTCGCTGATGATGATTTATATGACGAGACTTATGACGACGCCTACGATGATGACCACTGTGGATTCGAGGAACTTTCCGATACGACTGTCCGAACCCAAGTGCAGTGGATGCGGAACACGTTTGGACATGGAGTTTTTGTAGGCAGAATTCCTAAAGACGGTACAACAGCAGTGGGGGAGGCTGCTGTTGTCAGCAGTAGGCTTCGAAGTCGTGAAAAACCCGAGATTGGAATAAATCTGAGTTCAGGATTTGCAGGGTTCGTTGTTCGTCTCTGCGGTGATGGCAGCAAATATGAATGCTTTATAAGGACCAAAGACTACGATGAGTTGGGTATAGAATATGTGTGTGGATTCAGTACAAGCACAAAACGAACTTCGCCTGAGAACAAGTCTAGGAACAAATTCATCACGTGTCGTTTGCCATTCGAAAGCTTCAAGCCTGTGTCGAGAAAAGAGGGCAAGAAAACCAAGGAAGATCAAAAAATTAAGAAATTTCTCGGACATGATGTTCGCTACATTGGCTTCAGATACCGATGTGAGAGTAACGAGGGTGAAGGATCGAGATTGAACGATGCTACCCACCACAGCTTCTACATCGCTTTGTCTTATATCAAGGTATATCGGGTACAGCCTGGTAAGTTGACCCTTGTCTTGGCATCTTTTGTTCAGACTTTTTGGAAGCCAACAGCCTTCAGCAGAGCCAGAATTCGTTTTCCTTAGCGACAGCAGGATCCCATCTCATGTCAGGAACGGGATGGTACGACACGAGAGACGGCAGATTCTCAAAACAGAAGTTGAAACACAAGAAACTATAATCCTGGACGAGAACTCGTTTGGAACGAGCGATATCCTCATTCGTAGTCAAGAAGAGACGTATTACAAATACCGCGGAGAGGAAATTTTGAAGAAAAGTGGATTGAGGTAAGTTACTATGAGGGATAGAAAGTGATGTTTTCCATTCGCAATCTCATAAAAATGATGACGGATCAATATTCCATAGCTATACAATTGTAAGGGTTTATGGTTTCAACGAAGATCCATCAGGGGAAGTCGGCACGATCGAGCTAAAAAAGGTGAGTTCTTTCTCAGAATCAATGGAAAGTTGCTTGCGACAGCTAAAAAAAAGACTCAATTTCGAAAGTCGAATCAACAAATGAGTGCGGTTTCAAGGGCAGAAGTAGCGCAAGTATGCGTTGGCGCACTACTGGATCCAAATGCCTTAAACAAGAGCGTCTGTATGAGTAAAAGGAGAAGTAGTGGAATTGACGACGAGGACATTTCCAAGAAGTTTGCGGCAGTGAAAAGTGACATATCGTAGATTGCACAATAGAGGATTTCAAATATGAGGAACGATTGATAGTTTAGTAAATTCATTGGCAACCATCATCATAATGTACCGCACAAATACGACTAGTTCGACCCAAAAAACACAGATTTCAGATTTGATGGCTTGGAAGTGTCACTCAACAGCAGCAAGGAGGACACTGAGCTCTGATTATTGTTTTGCACGCAATAGTACAATGCGATTGGTACATTTGACCATCTGCACAGTCCTGGTAGGGCATGTGACTGGATTTTTACCCGTACGACAGTCAGCGACGTCACTATCTTCTTCTCGAACGGATGAATTTGAACTATTCGCGACCAGGTTGAAACCACTTTCAGTGGAAGAGATCAAAGCTCAGATGGGCATGGAAGATGGCAATGCACCACCTCCAAAGCTATTTTCCGATGCGTTGCATGATGATATGCAGCAGACTCTCCTCATTTTAGAGAAGAGAATCGCCAACGGACCTGGAAGTGTTACAAGCTTCGAACTGGACGATTTGAATGATCGGACCGAACGTATCGTCAAGCAAATGCGAGAATACGAAGAAGGTCAAATCAGTGAGTCGACTATCCCAGAGCCTATCGCGGCGATGGAAGAGCTTACATCAGTGATCGAGGAGCCCAGTGTTCCTTCGCATGAGGAAGTCGAATATGCTCCAGTTATTGACCAAATGCGAAAAAAACTAGAGGTAGAAGACGACGACCAGCTTCGTATTGCTGCTTCTAATATGGATGCAACAAAGGTCTCAGAGCTCCTTGGCGCAGGTTTTGAGATGGACGAAGAAACTACTGATGCGGCATTTTGGTCGGTTGTTGATGCTGTTGACCGTGCGGAACAGGCTGACCAACCTCTCTCTGCAGATGTAGCAAGAATGCTCCATCACATCTTTGATGCAGATCAAATTCATCTTCAAAAGCGCGAAAAAATCAGTATGAATATTACGTGTAAGCAACCCGATGATACACAGGGTATGGAAGGCGCAGCAAGGCGAATGAATTACATCTTTGACGACTCGAGCCATAAAGATCTCCCGCTGAAGGATGGACGTTGTTGCGAAGGTGGTGCTTGTTGTGACAAGTGTAGCCGCAACATCTTTCCTACATTTGCTACCGATGCCGAAAGCAGCCTCGAGACCTTTCCTGAGATTGCCACTTTGTCATTCAACGAGCTAGAGACTGTGTCCTCTAGCACAATCTTGCAGTTCGTCAGGCTTGTAGAGCGTGTTCGACGTACAATCGCACATGAGTATGGACTGCCATTGAATACTATTCTTCCGCTTCAAGCATATTCACGAAAATATGTTGCAGGCACCACGCAGCGGGGGGGTGGAGGCGGCGAGGGAGACTTCGTCACTCTTCATACAGACGAAGCAACTCACTCCGGATACCATTATTCTTGTGTTATTTATCTGAGTACCCAGGGTGATGACTTTGAGGGCGGTGACTTTGTTTTCAACGATCCTGCTGAAGAGGGCGATGAACCAACTGAAGACGAGATAGTAGCCTTGCAGAGCATGCCAATTGAGGAACAAATGCGCCGTTCTGGTCGTAAACTCACTCCATTCCATCCAAGTCGAGGTGCAGCGGTCATCTTTTCATCTGGATGGGAGAACATGCATGAGGTTGAAAAAATTACGTAAGTTTCTGTGCTCTCGATTCGTTCCGATCTATGCTTGTCTAATGCAGAAACATCGTCTCGCCTCACAGGTCTGGTGTCAGATATGCCGTGCCTTGCTTTTTTGTAAGTCTCAATTGCACAGTTGCTTCCCTTTTTTGAAGATTACACTGTCTGATTTGTTTTCGTCTTCGTGGCTGGTGTTGCTATAGACGACTTGCCCCGTACCAGAGGCTGCCTACGAGCAGATGGCGCAAGGAAAACCACAGACGGACGAGGAAATCGCTGACGATTGGTTGCATCTCCTCCTTGCTCACAGAAAGGAGTCGCCGATGGAATCAGTGGGCCGAGGTAATATATGTTTTTCTTGCGTTTTAATTTCCAGATGTCATTCTAACAGAACTCTACTGGACCGTGCGCAGTCAAGGAACTTCTCATGAAGTGGAACATGTTGTGTAGTCCCTTAGACCAGCACTAAGAATGTGATGGCTTTGCCATTTCGACAACATATACTAGATCATTGATATTTTATTGAATTGAGGCGCGATCCTAATTGCAAACTAAACTAGGGTTGATGCGATCTTTTCTAGTGGGTTTGACTGGCTCCAATGGAATTCATGCTCCACTTCCAATCGGTTGATCTGGCTCTATTGCATCCTTAAATTTCAAGAATGTGCTTCTATAGCAACCAGAATAAAACTACTCTTGGCAACTAGGCTCGAATAGGAAATGAAACAGCTCACTTCGCGGTCCTTTTGACATCTTCACATGCTCAGATACTAAAAGGAAATTGGCAGCTAGAGTCCTTTACAATCGTTACAGAGATGCTAAAAGGCTCCAGAGAGATGTGATGATTCGGAACGCTTGTTCAATCCCCATCAGTCGTGCCACAGCGTATCTCAACGCTTATCACTTCTTCGCAAAGAATCCCATGAGACTCTTCTGCTTCATGCTGCTTAAATTCTTCGATTTCGCACCTGGAACCTTATTTGCTGTAGCTTTCCTTTTCTCTTCCTCCTCGTTCTCCTCATCAGTCAAGATGTCTTCCCACACTGTTACTGTTTCTGTCCGGAGATACCCGCCCACCATTGTTGTCTTTTCCACCAACTTTTTGCGTCGTCTTTTCTGACGCTTTTGGGGATCTCCGTTTGAAACATCTTTGGAAACTTCCTTTGCAAATGTATCCATTGACCCACGAGCAAGGCGACTATTTGATTCTGCCGGGGATGAAACAAATTGTGCCTTTTGGCCCTTTGTCAAACGAGCAGGTTCTCGCCTCGTTGGTGTCATTTCATCATCACTGTCTTCTTCATCTGCGACAAAGTCGTCGGCGTTTCCAATCTTCGCTTCCGGCAGAGAACGATTCATTTCATTTGGCTTGTGATTTTCCTTTCTGCTCAAAATAGATTTGGAGATGATTGGCTTGGAAGAGGATGGAATCTTTTCTGGAGCCTTTTTTGTTTCAGTCTTGTTCTTTTTAGACTTTTTCTTGTTTGGTTGAGATCCAAAGAACGACGATGCTGTCACCATTTTTGGAGCTTTGACGGGTTGCTTCGAGATCCCAGAGAGTGATGCTGTCGCAGATGACAGGGGTGGTGTATGTTGCCCACCAATGAACCCCTGTATATCCGAAGTTATCAAAGTTACACTTTCTGCATCCTCAACTTCACTCGCTTGTGCAATGGTTGCAATTTGCGCTTGTTGAACAGTCTTCTCTTGCACCATTTCCCGCCATTGCACCATAGCACGCTCGTGCGCCGTCTCGACAGATTCTGTTGACTCTAGCGAAGAGAGCGCAAAAACAGACACAATAGCTTTATTGAGCGTATGTTTGGTTGTAGTCCTCAATCGGAACACTAGAAATTACAGATGGAATAGTTTTAGGTGACATCATAAGTTGAGAACACTCAGATTGGTGAGTCAAATACGTACCAATCGCATCGCCTTCTTGAGTCTGTTGACATGTCGATACCCGATAGCCTTCACTAGTTTCAATAATTTCCTCCAATAGCTGGCTTCCCAATATCCTTGAAACATTCAATGTTTGGCTTATCCGTTGAACCGTCACGCAATGCTGTTCCGACTCGATCCAGGACTTCACCTGTTCCTTCAGTCTTTCCCAGTTCGCTGGTTTGGAGGCTGCCTCAATCGTAGAACATACCATGATATCCAATGGGAAAATGACTCTGTTGAATGGATGATGTAGAGAGAAGAAACTGATGAAGATAACAATGAAGAAGACAACAAACAATGCGAAATATGAAATTGGCCACTCCTCCCGCCAAACCGGTCTGTCATTGACACTCATTCAGTCGTCCAAAGCGGAGTTTTATTTGGCGCGAAGATAGTCTCTGTAGTACAGAGAGTTGTCAACATTTTGTTATCAGTGTTTTCATATTCATATAGAGGACTAGTGTATAAATCTGATAAAAGAAGCCTTAGAACTACTACTCATAGCTCATGGTCCTATAATCTTACATTTACTAAAAGAAAATATACTCTAAAGGAAACCCAAAATATGAAACCAAGGGTGTGTTTAGAGGACACACTTTCCTTCTCAACAAAATAAAATTGACGGATAGGCTCATTAATCCAAATCTTCCATGGTACTCCTTGTATCCGAATCAACTCCGAGATACTCCCTTTCTTCTGCAGACATTCTCGCATTGGAATCTGAGGGATCGGAGTGGTAAAAGTTGTCGCCATTGGATCCATCATACGTTTCATCGCCATCATAGTAATCATCTCCATATTGATCTTGTGTATAATCATCTTGTGAGTATTGCTCATCTCCGTATTGACTTTGTGTATAGTCATCTTGTGTGTAAGTATCATCTCCATATTCGCCTCTTGTATAATCGTCTTGAGTGTAATCATCTCTTCCATACTCATCGTAAGTCCGATTATCATAATCTTGATTTTCATCATAGCCACCGTATGTACTGTCATCATACCCATCATAATCCTGCTCTGGCTGCCATGACTCTTCGTCTCCATAATCATAGTAGTCAGGATCAAATCCTCCGTTGGGATCCAAGTAAGGCGAGTCTTCATAGTACTTTGGGTTTGGGTGAGATAACATGAATGAGAGTCAATGTGTATTGGACAACCATACTCGTCGAGATGAGCCACTTACCTCGTCATCATCCTCGTAGTTAGCTCCACGTTGCCCCCTTCCACGAGCTGGTAGGGCTTCGGGAAAAGACTTTACCATGTTCGCAGCCCAAATCCACAACATTGCAGCAGAAATATTGGTTCCAGACCCAGGAGCCCAAGTGCATTCCATGTCGTCACATAAATCGCTGCCCCAGCTCAAGAAAGAAAGGCACTGGGCTGCGAAGCAGAACATACATGTCCAAAAAAGTCCATCAAATGTAGGGAGCTGATATGCGACACAGCAAGTGCACATAACGATGCACATAACAATGAAACCGACTCCGACGGCAATGATACCCATAGCCTTTCCCGCTTTCCACATGGAATCGAAATATGCATCAGATTCTTCACCATCCCAATATACACACTCGCTGAAGCTTGGAGGCTCTTGGAGTTTTGCTTGTCTCCCCAGGAATCCAAAACCTTCCTTGGGTTGTTCGGGCTCACCTTCGGAAGGAATCGGACGCACGTACATGTAGAAACATGATGTGACCGCAAGGAAGGAAGATACCCAGGATGAAACAGTGAAACATTGCGCTAGCACTGTGAAACATCGGCCATGGGGACAAGAACTGAAGCGAGAACAAGCGATCTGTGAATGAGCAGAACCCTTTTGTGGAACGAGAAACCAGAAAAGTGAAGAAGTAATGCTTACCAAGGACCATAAACGTCATAAATACACATTTCAATTCAGATGTCTTTAAGATTGAACCTTTCGCACCCTGTGATAGAATAAGTCACTGCTACAGAAGGACAACTTCAAACTGTGCGAGGGTCTTCTCTTGTGGGTACCAGGGTAGGATGTTCCTTGATGTAGCTGGATGCAAGAAATAATCGCAGGGAAAGTTTTTATTACAGTACTGGTACGGTACTTATTTTACGTAAGGGTGTGGTCATGAACCGGCTGAATGCGATGGGATGGGTCATCGTATCGTTCATGGTACACTTGTGTTTGACTCAATCGACTTCAGCGTCAGGAATTTTTATTCTCAGACAAATGGCGGACGTTTCGTTGGACTCCTTAAGTAAATGGGCGGACGATCGTCCGAATTTTCGGATCACTTCAGGATTTTTGGGGCCCACATCACCACCAAAATATACAATAGTAGGTAGGCACTCGTCTAATGCAAAATTTGATAACTTTTGCCGGACAAGTGTCCACCTATTTTGGAATAGGGAAAATCAGAATAGAGCAATTGGTATTGGTATAGTCAAACTGCTGATTTTGAGAAGTGGCGTCCACCTATTTTCACCATTTTGCACCCAAAATCTGAAGCCGTGTCAAAGCAGTAGTTGTCAAGCAGCCAGCAACAACATGCCAGCCCCACTTTACCATAAAAAACTTCGGTGGTCAAAATAAATGTGGATATGGTCGTGTCGTCAAAATACCAATGTCGTACGAGCTATAAGTGAAATGCTGTCAATGGCTACTGGAGAAAGGAGACGACACGAGTATTTTTTGCCACTGTTTCATGATCCTCACATGGGACTTAATGTGCAGGGCCAACGACACAGTGACAATTCTTATTGACCAGATGCAATGGCATGGTGATCACTTGGAGATCGAATTAAGTCCACAAAAGGATACCAAGAAGGGAGAGAAGAAACGTCTTCCAAGACGTCTACGTGCCAATCCGCAACAACCAGGAGCATGTCCAATAGTTGCCCTTGCACTTTACTTGGGTCTGATGGCCGGGCGTTTGGAGATGAATGGGCTCTTGTTTTCCAGGGAATTCCCAGCACAAACGTTTCATGGATGGGCTAAGCAAGATCCTCAGAGACCACGAGAATGAACTTCGGCAAATGGGATACGCAAGCTTCACAGATTACCTCTCATAGCATCAGAAAGGGAGCGACAAAGTGGCTGAGTGAACAGCCTGGGGGATCACTCCCAATCTCAATAGGAGGATGGTCTTTGGGTGGCGTCAAAGACGTCAATATGAAATACTACTACTAGGTAGAACGAAACTCACTTGGTGGTGGAATGAAACCCAGCCTTTTCTTGTATAGCAGCATACTTTATTAATAAATTCTATTCTACTTTTGATAAGTTATTAGTACTAGCTGTGGATGCAATTCTTTTTATACTATCTCTGCTTCAAATTGTATCAACGTGTCGCACTGTTTGGAGGATCGCCCCCACCAAAACTCGTCTTTCGGTGTATCTAGCTAATACCACAAGAACTATCAGAACATTTTTAGACCACCCGAGCACTGTCATTCCGCGGAATCTATACTAATGGTGAGCTTGCCGCAACCACGAGAAATCCTTGCGTGCATACGAATAAAGGATACACACGAAAATAAGTTTTTTAAGGCAGAGGTGCTGCCAACTACTACTAGCATGGAACGCGCAGGAAGTAGTAGAAGCTAGGAGAGACGAGAATCAGTACTGTACCTGTGGTGAAGAAGAAAAGCCAAAAGCAATCTCGATGCAGAAGAAGAAAGGAGAAGCACCCATGGAGGTGGACGATGAGCAGTGAGGCTTACATTGTAAATTTTGTTTAAAACTCAAATTGTTTCTACACCATAAAACTATGTGATTTGGGTCTTGTTTTACACGATAAAAGTCAATTTGCTGTTTTGTCGTGACGAACAGTGCGCGCATGTCATGCCCTTTTCAAAAAATCAATAAAAATGCATTTGAAATCATTTGGGAACGGATTGACTAATATGACTTCAAATAGTTGGACTTTTTCTGAAGTCATGTCCGCCACTTTGCCAATTCAAGATTAGATGAGGAAATGCCAGAGGATAATAGGATGATCTATTCCTCTGGGTGGATACTCCATCACCAAAACCACGCTTTGAGCTATGTATCCGTCACTACATCATGCAAATAAACAGCAATTGCACCCTGCTTCGTCTTCATTCATATGACTGCTTACCAATATCACATATGAGTGGACTTTCCTATTTACATGCAGTAAGGTTCTATATCGAGTCGAGAGTTCCTTTAATTTGTCTTCAAAGCTTTACATAGCATGGCGACTAGTGCCTACAAATACAGGTAGTTTCAGACTTCAGCAAATCTGCACCTATATCTTTTGAGGGAGACAACCTTCCCCCTTTATAGGTGGACACAATGTCCGGCAAAAGTGCGCTTTAAGGGATTAATCCCACAAAAAGCAACAATGAAACCGCTTTACACCAACCTAGAACAAGAAATAGGAAAATCGGCTGAATTAGAGAAACTTTTGATTGCAAATGGAAGCATGTGCACCTGTGCTAGTGACGATGAGCGCAATAGACGGACTGCGCTTGAAACCCTTGAAATGTTGGCAACAAAATGGGTTCGAGAACAACACCAAAATGACACCACTATGAATGGAGGGAGAAAAGAAGAAGAAGAACACGCCGTTGTAAACCCAACAATCATTACATTTGGGTCTTATTCGCTGCGTGTACATCGTCAAGAATCTGATATAGACGCCTTGTGCTTGTTTGACAAGAGAATAACGAGAGAAATGTTTTTCACGGATTTTGTCGATTTCTTGTGCCAAGACTCACGAGTTTCAGGCCTACTCGCAATTGAGAACGCATTTACTCCAGTGGTCAAGTTTTTGCTACACGGAATTTACATTGATTTACTTTTTGCTAGCGTTTCTGACAACAGCAAACTGGACAACTTTCACAATTTGGGCCGACCGAAATCGTTGTCTATGGATACCGAATACAAGGTAGAAGATTCAGATCTAGCGGGAATGGACGAAGCCAGTGTCCGAAGCCTGAATGGAGTGAGAGTTACTCAATTCATCGAACAAAAAGTGAAGAACCTTCCGCACTTTCGAACTTGTCTCTGCGCTATTAAAGCTTGGGCAATTGAACACGGCTGTTACTCCAATGTGCTAGGTAAGGCTTCTCTACTTTGTTTCGATGCACTCTCTACTCTTCTAAAGCTCACTGGTTGCTTGACATCGTGCTAGGTTTCCTTGGCGGCGTCAACTTTGCCTTACTTCTTACTCATGTCTGCTTAGAGTATCCAGAATCAGAATCTTGGCCGGCTTCGGTTCTTTTCAAACAGTTCTTTCGCACGTTCGCTCTCTGGGAATTTCCTCAACCAGTCATGTTGACTCAGGAAGTAAACCGAAATCCTCCATTCAATATGGCTCGAATGTATGTATGGGATCAATCTCAACAGCGGGATGTGATGCCAATAATCACACCTGTTTACCCAAGCAGTGAGTTCAAGAAGGCTAGTTTGGTTGGAACGATGCTCTATCCACTCTCGTTACACTCACCGATTGTATACTATCGCTGCAAAGTGAACTCGAGTCATAACGTCGCTCTTCCTCAGCACCGACGGATAAAAGATGAATTGATCAGAACTGCTTTCAAGTTGGAGCAAGGTTTTTACTGGGATAGTATCTTGCAAGACTGCGACTTTTTTCGTCGAAACAGGTAGGACCTACTGTACAGTACAGTTTTCTTTTGATATTATTATAATGTGTGTCTCGGTGTCGACTGTGATTTTAGTCGCACCTCAAATAATGTTTTCTCGGATCTTTGGTTCTCAGTAACTTCATCCAAGTAACCATCAGTGCTAAGGAAGGCGATGAATACTATAAGTGGTGCAGTTTTTGTCGATCGAAATTGCGATTGCTCATATCGTCATTGGAAACGAGACAAACGTCGATATGGGTGAGTCTATTGGTGAAGCTTGACATTCCGTGCCATTATTACTATCCGATGCAGCCATATGAATACCTCTCACACCACAGCCTGGTTTATGTTCTAGCCTTTTGCTAAGTTTTTCGAAGACGAGTCCTGTGATTTCGAAGGCGGCGGGCCACATCAACCTCGCCGATTGTTCTTCTTCATGGCCTTGCGGTTTACATCACCTCTCAACTCTGGTAAAGTCAATCTGAAGCGGCTTATGCTTGATTTTCTCCACAAAGTCAATTCATTCAAAGGTCGAACTGAAGGAATGGACCTACAGATATCTCATGCGGTGCAGCATCGACTACCAGCTTTTATTTTGGACAAGTACATCGACGGTTCTAATCCGCAGCAGAGTAGAGACGAGTAAGTTTGTAGGCTGATGTTCTGAAGGACTGGTTCAAGGTGATGCAGCTGAAAATGTAATCTTGATAATGCAATAGAACATAGAATAGGACTACTGTATATACCGGTAAATATAAATAATGTAAAGCTTTCATCTACCTTGCAACTCCAGTTGGATCGTATAAGCGAGCTTCCTTTGCGAGTGTGTCATATAGTTCTTGGCCATCAAAATCCTTATTTGGTTCTTTCACCAACACTACACTTGTTGGTCGTTTCGTGCTTGCCGCAGCTCCAAGGTCCTGCTTCGATGGGACAAAGAGGTATGGAATGTCTTTCTCTTCAAGAAGGATGGGAATATGCGAGATTACATCCAAAGGATATATATCTCCAGCAAGAATCGCGAGTCCCTTTTCGCCCTTCCGAATTCCCTTTATCACTTCCTTTACCCCTCTGCGAATATGTTTGACACCAGATGCCTTCTTTACCAGTTTGTGAATCTTCTTGGTGGACTTTTTGTTTGCCAATGGTTGACTGATGCAGTTTACCGCTTGGACGCGTTCTTCATAAGTTTTCCCTGCAGACTTCTTTGCTTCTGTATCCGACATCTTTGGCTATACCCACTGATTCGCTGCTGTATTGAGTTGTTCACAAGTCGGTTGGGTGGATTACCGAAGTCAAAGGATACGGATGGCCTTCCATGCCAGCCTGTCCGTCTGGTCTCTCTCTGATGAACAGATTTTGGGACGGCCGGGAAAATCAATATTTACTCCCAAGAATTGTATGCTAAATTTCTATTTCCCGGCCGTTCCCAGATCGATTGATATTTCAAGAAAATGTAGGTCGGGTACTCTTGATTATATCAGATACTGGCGCTGTTCTGTGCTGTACTGAACGTCTCAGTTTTCACGTGCACACCCACAAAGTAGGCGGGCCACTTTGTAGATCATCTAATCTGTGTCAGGAAGTGTGTGCTGTTCCCGCTACGCTCATTTAGCCCTCACATAGCAAACAATAGTCGCTTAGAAGAATGGGGGTGTACATTGTTGGTTGGCTGAGTATATATCTGTCGTTTCTGAATGACGGCACAGCCTTTCGGGCAGTCCCTGTTTCCAAGCAGAGAAGCAGTTCTCTCTTGGCGGATTCCATCCAGGACTTTAGTTTGGAAGAAAAAATCCGAGCAACGCCCGCAAAACAAATCAAAGAAGAACTTGCGAGCTTTGGGGTTTCTACGATCGGGTTGTTCGAGAAAGAAGATCTCGTTCAGCGGCTTCTTCTGGAGAAAATTGAATCTGTTCCCACTGAGTATAAGGAGCCAAGTTCAAATTCACTTCCCAGCGTGATATCAACACCTCTCTACTTTACAAGTTTGGACGCTGGTTTGAGAATTGCGGCTGTGAACTCGGACGATGGCATATCCGTCAATCCAAGCGAAAAGCCATACGCTGCAATCAAAGTTCAAGTTCAGGAGAAAGGTACTTCGTTCTCATTGCAGTTGCTTCTGGATACAGCCTGTTCTGGCTTGGTTCTCCGACCATCGGTGGTGAAGAAGTGGAACTTGCCGAAATCATCCATGCCCGTGACAATGACGGGGGCAGGAGGATCATCTGTCGCACAAGGGCTTACTCAACTATCGTTTGATGTTGGAGACAAATCATTTGGCCCATTACCAGCAGCCATCCAGGATATTGGCGCTCTCCCCAGGTCACTGGATGGAATTGTTGGTCTATCGTTCTTGCAACAATTCTGCTCCGTCGACATGGATTTTGCAATGGGGCAATTGAGATTATACGACCCTGATATGCCCCCCCCTCTGATTGACTCGGCAAATGGTACCTTAGTTGGGAATGCAAAAATGTGTATGATTCCGCAGTTGGGCCTTTATGCAGTGGATGTATACCTCGGAGGCCGTGGACCTGTCAAGATGTTGATAGATTCTGGCGCTTCCTTTTCTGCTTTGAACTGGAATGGAATCGACAAGCTTGGCATATCAAGAGACGACGAATCGTTTTTGAAGAGACTGGGTAGTCCAATGTGCGCCATGGGTAGTGATAGTAACGTGGCACAGCTCACTCATCGAATCCATGTGAGCAGTGTACTGCAAGTGGGTAACAAGTCACGAGGACTATCATTGAAGCATGATAAACGACTTCCAATTGACATTGGGAACATTGCAATTCTCGATGCATTGGCAAGCTACAATGTTGTTGGGATATTGGGCATTGATGCCTTGATGAAATGTTCTTGTGTGAGGTTGCAGCTTGAGACCGAAAAAATGCAACTCCTCTTGTTCGAGTAGGTCGTTGCACTTTAAAAGCTTCTATCCACTTCCTGTGCGAAAGCAATAACAAGCCGAATGACTGCGTGTTGAAAGATCACTCCAATGCTTGTGAAGACCTTCAATCATGGCATATGGTGAAGCCAGGAATGCCATGTTTTGGTTTCACTATTGAGGAGCCCTGGATGCCAACAGTCACTATGTATGCTGAAATTCTCTCCAGGTGTTCATTTTCTAGCTCACGAAAACCACGTTTGCCTGGCTGACGATGGCGAAGTTTATCTTCTTCTCTGCGAGCGACTTGATCCATGCGCTACTCAATCTAGGACAGAAATCAAAACACGAAACATACCAGGGTTGCTCTTTGGTGCTCGTCACCACTATGCACAGAACGGCCGACTTTAGAAGCTACTTTGGTGAGTCAAGTTGTTGTAATTATGCGTTTTTGCTGCTCCGAGGCACCTGATAGATCTGCCACATGGCTATGTTAATCGACTGCGAGGGATACACCCACTTCCTATCGCGCTTCACCCGAATGACTGATTTTCTATCGACTGCCAGCCATGACGATCCATGCGCATGTTGAGATGCACTGGTGATTCATTTCTGGTGGTACGCAGTGCAATTGATTTTACTACCAACTTTGGAGCCTGCGTTGCCGAAAGTGAAGATTTCCCTTTCATTCAAGATCGTCTTGATGGGGCCATTGAAAATAGGTTTCCCAAAACGACGATGTATTGGCTGAGAAGTGACTTTGGCCCAACATTTTCATCTCACCAATTCTCTTCCAATTGTAGTGGATCCAGCCAGAATCCCGTCGTCAAACAGGAACAAAAACACAACCACTTCATACGCTCCTCCATATTGGAAGAGTCTCATATTCCACTTTCATCCTTAGTTCGCTCCGCCGTCAATATTTCCACAGCTATTGGAACCACCTTTCTCCTATTAAACGGGCAAAGTTGCCTACAGTACTATGATCTATGTTTTGATTATGAAAAACACTTTTTGGACGAAGATCCAAGGGATCTCCAATCGATTTGATCTGCCACATGATTCACAACGGTTTCAATCAGCTATTGATGATTACGCCATTTGTCTGGAGAGTCATTGTCGCTTTGATGGACAACAGAAGAACTCTCGCCAGGAGTTTGCTCCCTTGATTGCAGATCCCGAAAGTAATCCTCTATTTCTTGGGCGTCCCCACCCTGCTGATGATGATGTAAGACACTTCGGATAAAATGCATGTTTCCCAAGCCCTCTTGAGAAGATGCTGCTGAAAGGTCAAGACCACAACCTCTGCGATTTAGGACAGGTGTTATGAACTGATTTTTCCGGTCAAATTGAGCATCCAAGTTTCTGTGATGAAAATTAATGTCCCGCGATGCATCAGGATCAACATTTCCAAGCTCGTCATCAGAATAGTGCTGGCTTAATTGAGTCGAGTCATTGATAAAGCCGTCGTTGAATATGCTTTCTTCCTCCTCCAGTGCTTCTAGCATGTCATTCTCCGCATCATCGCCCTCCATGTCATCATTGGCCTCAATATCTGCTTCGTCAAAAACAAATCTTGCAGCCCCTAGACGCCGCGCCTGCAACACTTCCAGTCTTTTCTTCTTCACCTCAACCTTGCTATTATCTCTGTCACAGCCATGAATCTGTCGGCCAACAACCTCGTTGTCTTTGGTAGATATGTGTCCAGCGGCAGATCTCTTGATTATTCTCTTCGTTAGGAGTGGTTCCTTTGCTCTTGAACACTCCTTACAAAGCCAAGGATCAGCGGACTTTATATCACTTTCGATGGAATAGCACAACTTGTGGAAAGCTCGGTTGCATCTCCCGTCACACAAGAATATGGGGTTTTCGTCGGTAGATGCGACAGAACGACATAAAGCACAATTTATGTCTTCAGGATCGATATTCACATCGTAGTCTGGAGTATCTGTTAGTTCCCCATACCAGTTGGTTCTTGCATTCGACTTTGGCGTTCGGTCGTGGCGGCGAGGACTTTTGCCACAAGTCAAACAGTCGAGTGATAGCTCCAATGCCGCCCGTTGACATCGCTTGCCCACACTTCGGTCTGCGGTGTGCGATCTGACCTGGCTGCTATTCAAAGAGTGCCCTTTCGAGACCCCCAGCGGTTTGTTAAATAGGGTTAGAGCGTTGTCGATAGGAGGGTCGGCCCAACGTGAAGCTGGATCATTTTCCTGGGTTGACTGTCTCTTATTTCCAACTTTTTTTGCTCCGGGACCGGTCTCTGAATCCATATCACCAGAATTGGTGCCCAAGATCGCGGAGGGCGACATCTTCGCATCTCCAAATGTATTGGCAGACATCATGCTATCTTCCATCTCGGAGGTAGCAATTGATTTTCTCCCGCATCCAGCATTCATCCCCTCTATCAAGATTTTTCGTTGTCTCTTCAATTCCATCAAAGGTATATTCTCTGCCTTTCTCTTCTCAGTTTTCTCATCTGTTCTTCGCTTCAAGGAAATCAGACGGGCATCTGAATCATCAGTTTCGGAATGCCTCAGACTGCCAGGTCGGAGTTCCTCCATTCGACAGTTTGAGAGTTCTGATTGATCATTATACGTACCATAATGAGTTTCGCTTACTTGAAAATTGGGAATATACTTCACGTTGTCCATTTCATCATAGGTCGGTTCGTGTGTCTTGGCTGATGTGCATAGCGGGAGGCAGTTTGTGGGACCTTCCTCCTCGGATGACGAGGAATCCTGTGTTGGGAGACGAAAACAAAAGGATCCTCCTTCTAGTGGCATGTCACTATCTTCTTCGTAGCTACTAGGTGGTGGAGTGGGTAACCGAAATGTAGGTTGGGGCACAGCATCATGATTGCTATTGGAAACAAGGATCTTCTCGTAAATTCTGGATGACTCTGTGTTGGATCTTCGAAATTGATTTTCTTCAAGAAACAAAGCGGTGGCTTCTTGTCTTTCGCAAACTTTCTTCTCGACACCATTCAGAGAATGTGATCTAGATTTCGTCAATTCGATTTCATCCCGCCGATTCGGGATGCCCAGTTTGCGCAATGCAGGAGCATTAGGAAGGTGACTTGAAGCGTGCGTCTTCTCGTGACCATTTAGAGGCATTTGGACCGGTGGTTTTGCGATCCTTGCCGGTTTAGTCTCTTGGTCATGCGGAGGAACGATAGGAAAGATAGACTCGATTCCACACGTCAATGAACGCCGGGACATTGTTTTGGCTTTCACGGGCCTGATACCCTTCAATTTATGAAGGAGTTGGGTGCTCTGTCCTCTGATGTTGGCTCTAAAACTACCGCACCAACCCCTCAATAGAACTGCTCGAACAGCCGTCCAGTCGCTATTGGCGGAGATGACCTTCCCCAATAGTTGGCCCCGCTCCTCTTCCTGAGCGGGCCCGAGATTCCAATTTTGAACCTTTGTTTGCCTTCTAGGGGCTGAATGTCCAACCTGAGAAAATCGAAAACTTCCCGTAATTTTGATGTCTGCAAATTGTCGTGTTGGTTCTCTTGGCAACATAGGTTTGTGAACTTCCATTTTGAAAGAGCCGCACTTCTTCAATGCTATCATAAGTGTTTGCTCAGCTTGCTTCGATGCCTTATAGGTTCGTTCTTCTTGACCTTCGGAGATCAAGCAAACAACTCGTCCGTTTCTTTTACGTCCAGTTCGTCCAGTTCTCTGAATCATCCGAATTGGCGAGCGTAACGTATCAAAATTCACAATCAAGTCAACTTCACCGATGTCTAAACCTTCTTCGCCAATACATGTGCAGACTAGCACATTGTACACATTCTCCCGAAACCATTTGATCACTTGCTGCTGCTCTGATTGTTTCATGCCTCCCAACCGATTGTCAACATCACCAACAGAACGTTTCGAACTTTGTTGTCCAACAAAATGCCGCGCTCTGACCAATGGATGATACTTCTTTAATTGCTCGACTATTTCGGATACCGAATCTCGAAACTGTGAAAAGACTATGGCGCGAGATGACTTTTCTGCCGCTTTGGCACGAGAAAAATGCTCGTTCAGCAGCTCGGCTAGCTTTTGAAGCTTCGGGTTGAAACTTTCGACCGAGAGGTCTGAGCTTGTTTTGGATTCAACTGCAGAGTTCGTTGCATTGAGTACTCGTCTATAAAGATCATCAAAATCTTTAGATCTGATCAGTTTAGCGAGTGGTCCCTTCTGTGGTGTTTGCTTCAAGCGCTGAATTTTAAGCTTGACACAGCCAAGGGATTGGTAAGCATCATTCCTGAGCTCAATTAACTTGTATGCAGCTTGAAAATAAGCGCGGACAGAACCACTTGCATTTCTATTTGATTTCAAATACTCCTGACATGATTTGTGTATCTGGAATGTTGTTACCGTTGCATTGCCCCCTCCAAACTTCAAGGCACCGTGAGCCTTCAGATACTGGAGTATAGGCTCCAGCATTCGAGTCAAACGTCGCTCGATATCCTTTTGAGATTCATTCTTTGGAACGATGACAATTTCTGAATGCTTCTGATGGACGTAGGGAGCAACCGAAGGGTCTGTCTTCGTGTAATGGGTGAATTTGTGTTTCTACATGTGTTTCTACAACATGACTGAAAAACTCTTACCTCGTATCGGGCTTCAATTTTGACAGCACGTAGAGATTCCACAACCTTTTGAATTGCTTTTATAGAGGTGCCAGGGGTGGCAGATAGTCCTACAATTCTGAATTGAGCACCAGCAAGTTCAAGCTGTTCGATTACCTTTGTGTACGCATAGTCACCACTTGCTTTATGCGCTTCATCTAGAACTACACAGCATACTCTCGACGCAAAAAAGGTGGCGTCATCAGAAAGAAGATCCTTTTGTACTGTCTGGGGTGTACAATAGAACATCCTTCGAGATCGCCACAAATCAAAGCGTGTGGATGGCTTTATTCTTCCGGTCAGCACTGCAGTGTCAATGCCAGGAATCCCCATTATGCTGTAGCATGCCTGTGCTTGCTGGGTAACAAGGGGCAGGGTGGGGGCTAAGAATATCATTTTCCCTTGAGGAAACCACCGGTAATAGTTGTACAAGACTACACTAGCAATGAGAGTCTTACCAATTCCTGTAGGAATTGATACAAGACAATTAAAGTTCACCGCGGTCTCTGAGATCTCTAGCTGGTATTGTCGCAATGGAAAGTTTTCGTTTCGAGGATAGATCCAAGTTGAGCTGGTCTTTGGGTCCAAAGGTACTGGTCCAGACTTGTACACCGAGCTGAATGTCCACTTTGGGTCGACTTTTCTTCTCGTTTTGCTTGAAGGGCAGTTGATCGACGGTGATTGCCCCGCTAGACGAGGGTGTGAAATCGATTCTGACGAGGGAGAATCAGCGGCCAAGTCATTCGATATCCAGTTTGATAACTTCGTTGTCGATGCACGATCTACTGACTTCTTCTGTCTTGAATCGTCTGCATGCGTCGAAACTCCGGTTGATTTCGATGCTACCCTTTCTTCCTCGCCCAAGATTTCTACTACGTTGCCGTCGGAGTGCTCTACGATAGATTCGCTTTCAATGGAGTTTTTCATTTCTCTTCGGGAAGCAGTTCGTAACATATCGAATCAGACTCGGTGAGATTGATTGTGCCAGATGATTGCCTACAACCCCAACAGTCTTACCTCTTTGCACATCACACACCTTGGATGATTGATGTTGTGATAGTATGTGCAGGAAGTACAGTGCCATCCAAGCAAACTCTTCGACGGCATGAAAGAGGTGTGATTCGTGTCCTGCGTCCTTCGATCCCTGCTGATAGTGTTTGCATGTTGATCTTTTTTATGAGTCCATAAGAAGGTTCTATTTTAGACCAATTTTTTAATACAAGCAATGAATTTCGACCCAAAAATCGGATGTACGCACAGACCATATTGGTACAAAATGAACACAAAAAACGGCATATTCCATATAGTCTGCAAATGGTGGAAAAGGCAGACATAACGTGCCGTAAAGGCTAAAAACTAAGAAGAAATATTTAGTCGACTGAGTCGAGCATCAGAGTTGGTCGACAGTAGCAGTCTCAATTGGGGAATCAATCAGCTAAAAACGGTCGAATGAGTCGGAGCAAAAAGGAAGCATTTTTGCTTTGGTGGTCAAACTGCGACACGGTGCGACACGGAGCTACAGGCAAATGTATACTAAATAAATAGCTTAATTTCTGACACCCGAACACCAAACCCCACCGTACATCTCAGTTTTCACGTGCACACCCGCGAAGTAGTAAGCAAAGCTGCCCGGGGAAAAGAAGACGGGCCACTTTGCAGATAAATGTACAGGGTAAGGTCTGCAAATGGTGGAGAAGGCAGACATAATGATCATGCAAGACGGTAGACGGACTGGCAAGAGAAGACTCCTGTCTTCACGCCAACAGTCATGTCGTCAGTCGCTTAAGCGAAGTAACGGTAATTCATTAGACGAAAATTCGGGGACGATCGGCATGGCAAACGAAGGCGTGAACACAAGCATTCTTTTTGCCAAGTGCAAGATGAGACGATGAAGAGCTAAGGAACCACGATCATCTGAAATAGTTCAGAACGATTATATCTTTTTTTCTTTCATCTACTCATTACCGGACTCCCGGAGTCGTCCATCCAAATTTGCCCAGGTTGCATTCTCAAATCCGATTTGAGCCCAATCAACCTGTGGCATCCCA